TAAGTGTTTCTGTTCCTTTCAAATCATTTTAAGCATCACAATTATAGATCTATAAAAAATGAGATAGAGCTATAAGTTTGTATCTCCCATCCCTAGATTTTTATATACCTTCTCAGATTTATTTATTTCCCTTCTGCCTTATGCTTTTCAGAAGTCTGACTGATTAGCAGAAGCAGCCCCAGCACCCTGCTGGAATTACAGCTTCCTCCTATTCAAACTAATGGGGCAACAAAAATCAAGTTTTAGGTCATTATTTGAGGAGGTTATAGTTCAAGATTATTAAAAATAAAGGGAAGAAATATAAAGTTGCTTTATTTGATCAAAATTAAAATGGGTATGTGGTTATTTCTGGGAACCCTTAATGGACTTTTGCTGGTTAGGACTGTACCATGCGTTTTGAAGGATTTGTTTATAGGTAAGAGATGAGATATGGGAAGAAATCACTTGCTGTATTTTAAGAGAAGATGATTAGTTACAATTGTATATACTTATTGTGATGAAGGGAAAGTTATTTCTTTATATATCTTTTTCTTTATTATATTCTTTTTTTCACATTCTATTTTTAATTTTTAGTCTTTTATTTTTCTTAATTTATATTAGCTTTTGTCTTTCAAATTGTAATGTTTAATAAAACTATTAAAAAAAGAACTGCATATATTAATTCTGTGATTTTTATTTTACTTTTTAAGAAGGCTGATCAATGTATCAAAAGTATATTTCTTGGCTGTAGCTTGACATATGGCTCATATTCCTAAAATGGATTGCTTGTCAAACAGTGGAATTGAAAAGGACTTCTAAGTAAAGCAATAGCACTTAGACTTCTATACCACTTCATAGTGCTTTACAGCCCTCTCTAAGCAGTTTACAGAGTCAGATATTGCCCCCAACATTCTGGGTCCTCATTTTACTGATCTCGGAAGGATGGAAGGCTGTGGCAGTCAGCAGAAGTAGCTTGCAGTACTGCATTCTAACCGCTGCGCCACTACGGCTCATTATGTATGCTATGGAAACAAGGGAACACATAAGAAAAAGGGATAGTCATCTATCCAGTGCCAAATGTAAACAGGGATGGTTCTCCAGGATTGGAAGGGAAGAGAATCAAACATTTTGTTTACTGTAAAGATTCAGAATTTCCTTAAGAAGTTGCTGACTTTATTTTCATGGACACAGCTAATCATTATTTTATCATGCCTGTAAGTTAGAGGTTTTAAGATTTTTTAATTTTTTAAAAAAATAGTCTTCGTATATTCTGCCTGCATCTAACCCAAGGTAGATGGGTAATTCTCTCTCACCTAAATTCACATGCACCTGAGTAAACATTCATTCTAGAGTGTTCTGTTCTCCCTCTTTTCCCATACAACATTTGAATCACCAGCTGTGACGCATCTAACAGCCTTCTTGTGGCTAATTGAAAAACATTATCATTCAGTCCATCCCTTTAAAACTAGAGGAGTTTTATCATGCTGAAACATTAACCCACGTACTGCTTCCTTTTCAAGGGCTTTGAACAATGGTCCAGCTAATTTTCATGCTCATCAAGGACACTGGGAGCTTTCCTATTTTCTCCCCTTAGGATAGTAAAACACCACTCACTGCCTTACAAGTCGGCTCCATGGATAAAACCATAACAGCATATAGCATCTACATAAACAAATCATAAGTAAGTCTACAAGTGGATAAATTCATAAAAAGCTTTAAGTAACAAAAAAAAACCCTGCTTGTAAAATCTTCAACATTATTGCAGGATAACAATTTAAGCCTAGAGAGACTAAGCATCGTGTGCTGCAAAAGTACATATATTAAGGCAATTCTGGTTAACGTTTTGATTGATTACATGCCATAAAAGTTGGTGTAGACTCTTAGCAGCTATAGATAGATTTTCTCCAGGATGATCTGCCTCCTCCAAGTCTTTCAATGAGGCAACCTTCATTGCTGTAATTGAGCCCATCCACCTTGCTGATGGTTGTCCTCTTTTTCTCATTCCTTCTACCTTTCCAGAAATTAAATCCAGAAATAATAGCAAAAGGCAGTTTTACTTGGAATAGCTTCCATCCTGCAATGATACCTTTAACACCATCAAACAACATATACCTATCCCAGGTCAATAGGTGGATAAAAATACCAAATCCAGTCTGAACATCTGGGTGACTATGCAATGAACCTGTTGTGACCCCAACTCCCAAGCCTGTCCTAACAGAGGAAGAGGACTCAGAAGGTGATGGGGAGGAACTGACAAGGCCTCTCTCTCCAGGACCCTCCTTTCTGGCAATGCCTCAGTTTCCATCTGAAGGCCAGGAGGAACAGCTGGGATGTGCCAGGAGGAAGGCATATCGGAGCACCAATTGATAGGGAGTGAGGATGATGAATCCTGGCTTGATCCCAGGCAGCGTCGGAGGGAGAAGCGTGCACAGCAACGGAAGAGGCGTGGGAGGGCCAGAGATTGAGCTGAGTCACAGAGCCATGCCCCACCAGGAATAAAAGTGGGTGGGATTGCTCTTCAGGCTTTGTGACAGACAAAGTTAAACCTTGAAAGTTACATCGTGATCTCTGAAATTCGGCTTGGATATATTTTGGACTGAACATTGACTAAACTCTTGTCTCATGGATAATTTGTTGCTCCTGGAATGGACTGAAGATAAGTCCTCTTCTGCTTTATGGGAGTGAAACTGGTCTTGGCAGGCATTCAGCAATTTGGTGCCAAAGCCTTGGTCTGCCAAGAATTCTAATCTGTTTACCTAATAAAATATTGGCAGGCGTGCTTGGTATACGTTTGCCTGTGTGAGGAAGGGGGACAGAACAGAACCCATAATTAACAACATATGTTCAGAACATGATTAATTTGATCCTGATCAATTGTGCTTCAGGTGAGAACTCTGGATCGGTTTGTTCTATGATCCAGGTGTTTGTTTTTTTGGCAATCTATGGTATTTTAAGGAGTCTTCGTTCAACAGTTAATTCAAAGGATCAATCTTCTTTCTATCTTGTTTCTCGAAGTCCAACTTTCACTTCCAGAGTAACAGTAAAAACTACTGCCTGCACAATTCTTTTGGTTCTTTTTTAATTTTAATAAAGTTGACAATTGAATCTCTTTAAACACTATGAGACCCATAATACATTATATTTTTTTTTGATATAGTGACATTTGTGGGTTTCTTTCTAAATATTTCGTTGCCAGGTTAGGTAACATCTTCAGTGGAGTTTAAGGGATGTCAGTATCAATGTTATTTTGTTTATAAAGGCTTCAGGTGTTGGTGTGTCAAGTCTTGTGCTGGATCAACTGTGAGTCATCAGTGAGTTTTGTGATGGGTCTTGAGATGCGTCGTGATAAGATGACATCAGGTCAGGGTCATTGGGAGGTACACTGCGGGGGTTGTTTGAGGGTCGGTGCTGTCTCTGGTTGGCTATGCAGTTGATTTGGATTCTAAGGGGTTCGTAGGCTGGTTGTAGGTCAATAAGTCTGTTGATGGAATTGGAGTCTGTTGGTGGAATGCCAGGCTTCAATTAACTCACGAGCGTGATGGGTGGTACCATAGCTGATTATTTTTGTGTTTCTCCAATTGAACTGGTGGTTTGGTGTCGATGTGGGTAGAGATTAAGGATTTAGGATTGTGGCGTTTGACTGCCAGTCGGTGTTCATGGATCCTGGTTTTTAATTGACGTGATGTTTGTCCCACGTAGAATTAGTTGCAATGGTTACAGTGTCAGCGTTCCAGAAAACTCCAACTCCAAGTAAAGACAGGGAAGCAAGCATTTTCCAAAGTTCTCTTTACTAGAGTAGATAAACTCGCACAATGAATTTGCAGATTACATTGTTTCTTTCAGCCTTCTGTAATTTGTCTTTGGTTCTGAATAATTCCTGGTGGAGTATGGCTGTGGGTTTGTGGGCTATTGTTATTCCTAGGAAGCTCGCATGGAACATCCCCTCTCCCAGTTTGCAAAGCCAGAAACATTGGGGAACTCTGTTCTACAGTTTCAACCTGACTTGTAGGGTCAGGCAGAGATGACATGGTTCAGATCCCATTTATAAGCAGTGATACTGAAGGGATCTAGGAAAACTTTTGATCACAGGACCTGTCCTCTGGAACACTATCCCCCTTTGACCCCAGACCTGACTGTATTCAAAAGCGTTCTGAAAACCTAGCTCTTTTCTTAGGCCACAGGGGTCTGGCAGGTTTGTTTGTCTTTTAAGATGGCTTTTTTTCTTGGTATCTGGGGAGGTTATTTCTGCTTTAATTGTTTTTACTATATGCCATCCAGAGTGACAGTTATAAATTTCTAAGGCAAATAAAAATATACAATTGCAAGAAGAGTGTAGAGATTACACTTTCAAAATTCACAGCTAGAATTCTTAAAATTATAGTTTAAAATATATTGAGGACACCAGATTGAGAAGGGTTGATATATGAACACTTAATCTAGACTGATGTATTCATTTAAAATACCCCTGTATCAACTACAACAGCTAACAGTGCAACTGATTCACTTATGAAGTTAAAACAACAATAACAACAAAAAAGGAGTCAATGGTATCTGTGGGCCAATACTTGATTTTTCTAAATTATTTCAGAAAATGCACAATGTAAGCATTGTTTTGAGAAGCAGTGTCATTTGCTACTAATTAAATTCAATGATAATATTTATTTGCAGTAATTAAACTTAACACTTGTTCAAAAATAACATCTTAGTATATAATTGAAATAAAGCTCCCAGAAGGCACCACAAGTACAACGCTCCTTATTCAACTGATAGCGCATAACTGAAGAGTAATTCCTTCAGAAGAAGCCTTGACTTAACACCTATATTATGTTGGGAGAAATATGCAGAGATCCCACTGCAATGCAGTGCATAAAAACGAGTGATTCTATAAGTAGCACATTAGAGTTGGGAGGAGGGAAAATGAAGTTGTGTGTTTAATAACTACATCTTCTATTACCTATCTTTTTTTCCCTCTTTCTCTTACATGTAATCATGAAGAATAGTGAGATATATCAGTGAAATATACATCAACTATTGTTGAATTGCACTGCGTTTAGTAGAAAAATATCTGGAATACTTAGACATAACAGTTGGAGTTTGTCAATTCATCAAACTGTTTCAAAGGTATGAGCTATTGTGCAAAAAGCAAGAGGTGTAAAAACTTCCAATAGTTACATTATTTGGGTTTACTCTTCAGGGAAACTACATTTGCTAACAGGTTAGCTAATACTAATATTAATATCGCATTCAATAGCATATAAATCATAAAAGAAAATTACTATCCCTATTATGGTTCTAACAGTACTACTATTTAGAATTTATTTATCAACTCATATGGAGCAGGAAAATAAATCCTTTTAAAATTCAATGGGAATATGTATCTAAGTAAAAAGTGTTCAGAATTAAAAACATCAAGAGTTTTAACAGCACCTGAAAGAACATGAGAAATGTTGTGCTGAAAGGAACTAAAAATAAAAGAAAATCCTTTGGGGAAAGAAAGTAATCCAAAACTCTATTTCATTTGGTGAGGAGGGAGTGGCTCCAATATTTAGTGATCCACAGAGTGGTCAAAAATATGTTTCTATACAGACTGATAAATATAATAGAAAGGGTGAGGGTTTTGAAGATTTCATCCTCTTAATTTAGTCCTTGCTGCATATGTGTTCTTTTGATTCTGTATGTTTGAACACAAGCAGGAAAACAAACACATCCTAATTATTATTTCAACAAATAATCTCTACCAGGGATTGGGGGACTGTATCTGGTTCATTAAGGTTTTGATTATGCTGCAGCAGAACAGGATTACTCTTTTAATCTTTAGTCTATGAAAGGGCATCTAGGAAATCCTGGCTTTTCTCTAATGGATGTACAAATTTGTTCAAAGATGTAAGCATATTTTTCTGCTAAATTTATGTTTCTTCTGCAGTAGAGACTGATAAAAGACAAAAACTCCATATAGTATCACAATATAATTAATAGACCTCAAAACTTCAGTTAAGATTCATTACCCAGAATGTTCCAGAATCAAGAGATTGAACAGAAAAGTGGTACATGTTTCCATCAAATACTAAGTAGAAACATTCTTGGTTATGTAAGACAGTTCCTAATTCAAACTGAACTTTCTCTGTATCATCCCCTAATGTGATTGTGTGATGTTCCAGGTTCCTAAAAGTTCTTAAATCATTTCCAAAGAGTACTGTTAATATGTTTTCACCTCCTGGACTGCTTACAAACCGTACAAACTTTATATATAGCCACTTCCAAGCATAGAAAATGAACTGTGAAATCATTCTTGATCAATGGTCCTGCTCACTAGAGCTCAATGAAGAATTCAAATTTAAGAAAATACATCTACGTTCCACTTTATTTTATCACTTAAACAGTAAGTTCTATTAAATATTGTAGTGATCTGTTTAAAGAAATAAGGCCGAACAGTCTGAAAAAGCTATTATTTTCAGCAAAGGATGGGTAGTATGAAGAGAATTGGTATTGTAGTAAATATACTAAATGTAGATATGGAAGAGACCAGTGATGTATACCTCACTCTCTGCTACTGCATTAAACATTCAATTTCAAAGCCTCTTAAAAAGTATCTACCTAAAGTTGCAAAGTTCTGTAGCACCCTAATGATGCTAAGGTCTAGATATTATATTAGAAGAAATGGTAGTTTAATTCTCTAAAAATCCTATTGAATTCCTTATCTGGCAGGGATGTTATTTACGATAGCTGGTTCAGCCTGATTCCTGTGAACCAGTTGTAGGACATTTGGAAGGTAGCAATTCTGATAGGAATCCAGCATCCAAGAAAATGGCGTGGAAAGAAAAACTGGTTGCATTTAAATAGAGTGCAGATTATGTACCTTGTAAGTGGCATGTGCTTAATTAGGGTAAAAAGAAAGCAAGACAACTCTGCCAAAGGCACCTGGCAACATGCACCCTAAAATGCAAGGTCCAGGCCAGCCTCCTGCTGTACAGTTTGACCCATTCCTTTCTTGAACAGGAACCGCTTGTTGACTAATGTAGACTACATCTCTGTTTTATGGGATACCCCCCCCCAAAAAGGGGGGGGTTCATTCTACCAATGTTCTTGAGCATACCCTTTTACCATTAAAAAAATAGGAAAATATAATCATTTTTGTGATTTTCTATTGGTATAGCATTTTGTATGAGAATAATAGTTCCTGACTGCCTATGAACATGAACCCAGACCCACTTGTTTTAACAAGATAATTTATATTATTCATAAAATAAACGAGAATTGAACATTGTTAAAAACTCTATGCCAGAGATAAATAAAGCTAGAATAAAAAAATGATATATACGTAACTTGAAAACTATGCAAGATGCCAAAATGAGACAGATATGATTATAGAAATAATATGAAATTATTGGGTGAATACAGTGAATCACCCTGTGAGAAAAACAGAATTAAAAAGTTGGTTTAGAAAGAGGAGGAATTTTAATTTTTAAATGTACTAGGTTATACTTTCGTCTTGTTTTGCATATAAACACAAGATTGTTGCAAATATAATTCTAATACTGAGCACAATGATTAGCAAATATTCCATTTGATTTCAGGGGTATATTTCTGGTAACAATGAGATAGATATAAATTCATCCATTATTTTCATGTAGTGATAATTCCTTCTGTACATAATGACGCATCATAAGGTCTGAGATTTATTACATCTAGAGATCACAGTACTGCAGTATATACTAATATTTTACTGCACTGAAAGAATATTCAGAAAAAAATACTGTAAATGAAAACGAAAGGCAATCTTGTGGTGACATTCCTCATCAGATATTGTTTATAATCCAAATTCTTCTCTGAGGGAAGAACTATATTCAGTCAATTCAAGTAAGATCCCGTTTCTAAAACTGATGTAAACATTTTGTTGCAAGAGCAGATATTTGCATTCATAGGCATCTGTTTGACTTTTCATATACATTTGTGGCTTCAACTCATTGAAGCACATCAATCTACTTCAATATTCCATTAGACAAATACATCATGAAAAGCATTACTATTATTATTTAAAAAGACACTTTAGAAAGCAGTGCTATAAAACGTTCAGGTTTTCACAACAAAATTTATTAGAAGAATAGTGGTTCTGAAAAGTCTAGCATCCAGTGAAAACTACCATACATATTACAGCTGGGAATGTGTTTCCAAAATGACATGGCCAAATACAAGAGGGTTGTTTAACCCTTATACATGCACAATAGAATCAGCATTTTGACATACAATGAAAAGAGAGAGAGAGAGAGAGAGAGAACCACATGAATTAAAATTTTATAAGTACTTATCACATATATTAAGACACAGCTTATTAAGTCCAGTCAAAAAATCAGAACTGCATTAAAAATTAAATGTAGTGCAATCAAACCAAAAACCTTAATTTGTGATCATAAGTGCTCTACTACATAAAATGTTGATCATAGCAAGGAACAAAAAAAAGTTCAAATCACACAGTACAAAAAATCTGTAAATAAATACAAGCTACAGTACAAGAGAAATATTAACTTATACAATTCCGTCAAACTGTAAACAGTATATTGAAATGAGGTCCATAGATTAAAAAGGGGGTTCCTGCTTTATTTTTCCATGACACTTATACTTTTAGAGGTCTGTAAAAATGCCATTTTTCCATATTTTACATGCAGAGAACTTTATAAAGTGTAAAAGCATCAAATAATAATACAGAAGCATCATTAGTGTATAGTTACAGTGAAATTGATGCCAGTACAAGCAGTTGTAATTATGCTAATATGTTACTCACACTAACTTTAATGTTCACCAATAGACCCATTATTAGAGCTGTTAAATGCCAATACATTCATGATCAATGCACGGCAACTAGAGATGAAACACCTGAAAAGGGCTACAATTTGGAAATGATCATACGTTTCTACAATATATGTGCTCCTGCTGATTATTTGAAAAATTTACACACTTGCCATATTACATCAACTTTGGCAGAAGGTTTACTAATAAACTCGAGCCTGTCTGACCCATTGGCTTCCATCACAGTGGCCAGTGCACAGAATTCCTAGAGACATTGCATAACTAGAATGTAGAGGTCAGACATCCAAGGGCCAGTGCTCAAGCTTAGAAGTACCTAAGATGAAGGAGAAACCACAGCTAGACTGAGAAGCTGCCCCTGCTCTATTTACAGAGGCAAGTAGGAATGTATTTGACATTAGCTGTGCTGGCTTGGTAGTGGCATTTTTAAATATTTAAGATTACATATATAATATATATGTATATACCATAATACACATACTATATATAGAAATTTCTTACAATACATAATTATCAGGAACCCCCCCCCTGCGATCTTGCTCAGTAGTAATAACTGAATATACAGAATGCCACTACGTGTCTGAGGCACTGCGTGCTGGAGAGTAATATGCAGCTTTAAAATCCGTTTGGCTGAGTTATACCTGGATACCTGAACTGAGTTTAAATTGACATTCATCAAGGATGTGCTATTAGCACATTAAAAAAAAAAAGCAAAAACAAAAAAAAACCCACGAGTCACTGCTAGGTTTAAGAATAGTGTACAAGTACCTGAATTGAATGAGGGTAGTGTGTAAACTGTCCCTGAGGGTTTTCAAACAGTGTGTGTACAAGCTGGAATCCTAAGCACATTAGTTTAAAACTTACACTGTGGACTGATAAAATACCAACATTTGACGATTGAGTGGAGGTTAGAAAGTTATGAGCAAACACTCAAAACATATTTAGACATGTTTAAGCAGTAGTTAGCTACTGTAAACCAAAGTCCCATAGATCTCTACCCCAAATGGGACTCAAGAGAAGTTGCCATCTGTCAGGTTTTTTTCTTTGAGGCTAGGGCACACGACAGCCGCCACCGACCCTCTTTCCAACAACTAAATGTAGGATGCACCTAATTACAGACTAGCAATTCAAGGTTAGATTTTAATGTATTTTCTCTATAACATATTATAAAATCCCTTAAGATCACTAATGCTGGTATGCTACTCTAGTTTGTTTTTTTAAAATTCTCCCTTCATTTAAGAAATATACCATTCAACGGCATAACAAATATACCATCCAACTACTTAAACATTAAGATCCATTTTCAGTCCTCTGATGTAAAAGCATGTCAGTAAATTTATATTAAAATTTACATGGTAAAAAGGCTTGAATTTCAATCAAAGATTCTAAATACTGCTCATTCCCTGAAGATAAAAAGGAGAAAAATCCCTACCCATTTCCCTAGTGATATATTCTCAAACCAAATTCCACACAATGTTCTACAATTATTCTTCATTTAGGAAACTTAACTTAGCCTCCCACATTTAGACCCCAAATTTTAAAGCCCTAAATGGTCTTTAAAATAGTCTATTGAAATGTAAAGTATCAGACATGTATGCCTACAAGTTTCCTGAACATTATATAACTGAGTTATTTATTATCAATAGAAATTATCTGACCTAAAAGCAATAAATCTTTTGTGGACTGAAACTTTTAACAGTACCTTAGACTTGAAGACCAGATAAATTAAGACTAGAGTTGCAATAATAAAAGTGCTGAAGGTCCATTTCCTGCTTTTCTTTTTGTTATTTTTAAAAATCTGATTAGACAGGTATATTAATGGACTGTAAAGATTAATAGATATTTTTATAAAAACTGTGAAATTCTGTTAAATGTAGCACCAAATGTGAGGTACGTTAGAGACAGAGGTGGCACACCCATAACTGCAGAATGGGAGAAAAAAATCTATCTATTTTTTATAAACTTGTTACCCTCGGTTAGTTTTTTCTTATCAAGGATTCTTAGTATATGTTGTACTAATATAAGAGAAAGATCTTGGAATCTTAGAAAAATAATTAATGGGAGTGTTATGAGCAGGATGGTAATTTCTTGAAGAAAATATGAGTGCTTTCAGGACATAATCCAATTAGAATACTTCTGTCCTATCAAGAATGCTACTGATATACAAAAGGTACAAAATCCAGTTATCCATCAGAGAAAGAATGCAATGGCTAATATTTTCTTACTATAGTATCTTCAGTAGGGATCTTCTGCCTACATAATATCTTCTGCAAATGAAAGGAAGTAAATCTATTACTTCTGTTTAAATTATAATTGCATAATTCTACATTTAGCAAAAAACCTATTCATTTATTAAACTTCAACTCATGGCTAGATATTCTATGATGTATTATCTAAAAAATAACCAAAAGTTCTATATCCAAGAGCTGCATAATCAACTCTTTTAATTCCATTCCTTTTAGTTCCAAAGATGACTTCTGATTTAGTGATGATTCCTGATCAACTTGTTTCCTATGAAGAATTATCAGAATTCGTAGAATAATGATAATATCCAATTACCAGGTAGTCAAATATAAGGTGTTATAATAATTGATACTGCTACTGCATTGTCCTCTTTTGTGATAGAAAGAAGCTAAAATTTGTTGGTAGGGTGAATGATGGAAAATAATTATCATGTCTCAAGTGAACCAGAATCTTAGCTACTGAATTAATTTCTTTTCATTTCTTAAACTGCTTAGAAATTACATGTATTTCACAAGTTAATTTGGGAAACCAATGACAAAATAATTTACCAATTATTCACCTATCATATTACTCAGCAATTTTGTCCTATTAAAGACATGTAAATTATTAACCTGTTGTTTATTTACTGAGAAGTAAAACAGTAAGTGTGGATCGAAAATATATGACTATCTCTACCAAATGTAAAATATGAAGAAGCATGGTAGAGTTTCTAAACAAAGTCTGACAATAAGTAGACAAATGATTAAAAACACCAAATGCAAGTATCAAAATATGCAGTCATCAAATTCAAGTTATCAAAAGGAGAGGGAGGGAGGGAGAGGGAGAGGGAGAGAGAGAGAGAGAGAAAGAAGCAGAGAGAAAAGAAATCTTTTTAAACAAAAGGAAGAAAGCAAAAGAGGTCTTATCTCAATTGTTTACATTACAAACTGTTCTTTTGAAGGCTGCTTAAATCTTTCAGGCAATCTTGTCTAGTACATTAATCTTTTCACCTTTGGACTGAAGGAGATGACTTAAATTTCTAGAGCTCTAGCAAAGTGCTTCTGAATAGGAGAAGAGAATGGTAAATGTGCTTCCCCATCTGCCCATGTGCCATAACTCTTTTCACCTCTAAAAAACTCACAATATTTATAAGCATTTAATCCAAAATGTATTGGATTAGAAATTGTGACTAAATATTGTATCTACTTAAAATCAAGTTCCCTCAACTGCCTATACTTGACAATATTCAAAATCAACTATTACAAAGAAAACAGTCCCATACTGCTCTCCTCTTTAAAAGACATATCATATTCTTAAAACAATATTAGAAGTTATTCGGATTTATTTCAAAACATAATTAAGAATACATACAACCTAGGGGCTTTTCGTTAGGCAGTTGGGAGCAGCCTTGAAATTCGCAAGAAATATTGATCTATTCTTGGTGCATTTGGAGGGATGCAAGTGTAGGATCTTTAAATGCTCCTAATTAATCAATTTGGGGATTATTTCACTTGGATAATTAAAAGTAAGACTATAGCCCAAATCCTATAACTTGAATTCTTGATAACTACAGTGTGGTGAAGAGGCCTGAGGCACTAGAAATAAGGTCCTAAAGTAGCTGATAGAGAGGTAATTGTTCATCAGATCTCCAGATTTTTCAGGAAATAACTTTTATATTTTACAGATCCAAGTAAAAAACTGGTACATTTTCTACACACAGGGCTTGTTCCACAGAACTGTACAATAATTAACTCCACACTTGTACCCCTACAACACTAAGCCTTAAGTCATCTGTATAACCTGCTGCAGTAAAAGGTCACCAACCAACATCTAAATTCCAGTACAATAGAAAACTTGATTTTAAACATTTTTTTACACACACACACACACACTCACATTCTCTCTCTCTCTCAAATCCACACACACATAGTCATTAGTCTTCTGGGCTGGGAGTAAAGGGAGAACTCACTCTTCATATACCGTCTCTAAAAGCAGAGGCTGCCATAAATGATGTTCACAGTTTGTTTCTGTTGTGCAGGTGCAAATAACACCATCAACAGATATGCCATATCTCTACAAAAATTCTGGTTTTAGGTTTAACATACATGATAAAAATGCCCCAATTTTCCTCCTGCAGACTTAACTTCTGAAGCATTGCACTTGGCTATTCCTTAACCTGCCATGAAAATCAGCAAGGAAAACAAGGCAAACATTTCTTGCAAAATTTTACAAGGACGTCCAGTTATTAGAAATGGGAGGAAACAAAGATTTTCTTACAAAGACAGTAGCAAACCACATTTTCCCACTTCAACCTATGATCAGTTGGGATTTTGGTCATGCAAATGTCTGTTCAGCATAAAATTGAACATGCTAATGGGTAAACACTGATTCCATTTTTTCTACAGGCGAAATGCTCCCAAATACTACTCAAAGCTACACCAAAGGCGCCTATTAGAGCAGTCTGACTTTAATGGACCACTTAGGGATCTAAAGCAAGATACAGCCACAGGATGAACCACCTTGGAAAAAACAAGTAAGATGAAATCTTATAACAAAAGTTTAACATTAAAAAGGTGCACCTGAATATTACAACTAAGTTTACAAAACCTACAATAAGATAAAATATAGATATATTTATATCTTTTGAATATTCAGCAGCGTTTTGTTTATTTTTGAGAGGCTTCTGAAATTTTAAAAAGGGACAACTAATTTTAAACATGCTTCACAAAACAATAATGGCTATTTTATATTGCAATTACCAAAGTAATGCAATTAGTGCTTTAAAAATAACCTACTTTTTCTTTTCTTTTTAAAAACAGAGACCTTTTGAGGAAATATGGTTGTTCCAAAGCTTCTGGGTTTTTTTTTTTACCTGAATAGAAAGTGATCACAGATAATAAGTGTTACATTTCAAAGCTTTGTAGATAAGAATCTTACAATCTTCAGGTCCCAGGACTTAAATCTGAGAAAATTGTTTGGTTGTTTAATTCATTTTCTAACCAAAGCAATAAGAATACACAACTATCACTATCTATTTACAGTTCTTAACCTATGGTCTGAAATGACATACAATTAGTTCTCTTCTAAACTGCAGCATTAAAGGGTAGGCACACCATTTTTCTGCTGCACGATTGTCATCCACTTAATGATACAAATTGAAAATATTAAGTAAGCAAAATGAGCACACCAAATACAATAACAGATTTTACGGAACTCAATTCATACATCACTTAAATAAAAACAGTCACAAAAGGTTAAACCTCAGACAGCTAAAGTCTATGCAAGTGTTACACTTCTAGCTTGCAGCAAACCCTCTCCCACACTTTCAATAGCAGATGAAACCACAAATTTAAAACAGTGCATTTTATTGCAATCTCCAGTGAAACTGGATTATATTGCAGAGTTTCTATACTACTACAGGGCTTTAAACAGATGTCTGTACTGAGATGGCATCTAGGACAGCTAAGGAACTCTGCTTTTTGAGTATGGAAATACATTAAGCAATTTAAAAAAAAGTACATTAACAGTAGTACAAAGCATATATGGGCTAGAAGCCCAATCTCTCTCAAGAATGAGAAGTGCATATTTAACATGACAGCAATGGTGTGCCTAACCTCTGCTTCCCAGCAATCCACTGTATTCAGTCAACAAATCAAGAAGGCCCACAATTAATTGCCCCAAATTCAAGCAGCAGCCCTGGGGTTACTTAGGCCATCTTCCTATGAATCATAGCATCCACTTTCAGTCATCAGGACAAAAACTAACCATGAACAGTGCTTAATGTCATCTTACATACAAATCCCATAGCCTCTTTTGGTTGTGCAAAGTAGAATGGAGTCCTATCAATCTTTTGCACAGCTATGATCAAATTGTCTCTCTACCTGAAGAACCATTAAGTCTAATTCAGTGAAGCTGCAGATCCAGAAAGCTTTATTTAAAGCTTAAAATATAAGAATGAAAAGATGCTAACTAAAAAGGCTGAATTGTGGATTAGGAGTGCTTCAGATGATTTACCTATGTGTGTGCTACTCCACTATTAAATCAATAGTGGATAAAACAAAAACAAAATGTCAGGAGATGCAAGAACATTTCCTGTTACTGGCAACTTTAGTATTTAAAAAGGAAACACCCATTGGGTGTTCAACCCTGACAGCGTTATAGCTAGATAAGATGCTCAGCCTAAACCAGACCAGAATGATCTGATCATAGGTTTTATTAAAATTTGTAAAAATTTCTTCCCTGAACATTATAACATAGATCCTTCATTTATACAACTATTTAGTCAGACTACTGAGGTTGTAATATTTAGAAATTAGTGAATTTACGAGGGTTTTTGTTTGTTTGCCCAAGAATATAGTAAACTGTTATATGTATTTCTGACCCCCAGAAAGGTATGTTTTAACTAATTGTTGGAAACACACAGTCTAGTGAACTCAGGATCAAATCTACGAAAAGCATATTGGTCACAAAAAACCATATTCTTGTTAAAATGAGGAATACCCTAGTGTATCATTCAGTGTACCCTGATTCTCCTAGAATACAAGGAGTTTGTTGAGATAAGGCTACATCCTCAAGCAGGCAAGTCCAACCCTCACCTTTATAAAAGAATGAATAAAATTACAATGAAAATAGTGTTCCAAAGAAATTAACCAAAGCATTTTGCAGGTAGTGTACGTATGTAAAGATTTCCCCGTCCCATTCCCACCCGCTTCACCAGGTGAACACTAAGCAGATTGCAAACAATTAAGAAAAACCCTCCCAAATTTAAAACAAAATGGCTCCTATTAGATCCAATAACAAACCAGCCCCAAATCTCTGAATTCGAACAGACCAATTATTATTTTAAAAAATTCTTTCCAACCAACTGGATGGATCCAAGGGAACAAAAAGAGAAAATCTAAGTATAATCCAATAATCCAGTTTTGTTTTCAAAGTCTGGTATTAAGAGCTCAAGAAAGGGATTATTATTATTATTATTATTTAAAAGGCCATATGAAAAAAGCAAACCCAGTAAAATAACTGAAAGTCCATGCAGGCTCAAGAGGCAAGCAGTCCACTTCCATGTCTGCATTTTTTGTGAGGTAACTCAATTCTCTATAAAATATTAGAGAAACATGCAAAAGGCCAAAAAACAAAACAAAACAAAACAAAACACAAAAGGCTCTAAGCCATACTGAGCCAGAAAATTTACAAATATGCAACATTCAGAGCACCCTTTTCCCCTGTGCCCTCACAAGTCTCTGCTGAATTGCAATGGAACGTGTTCTGCACCCGGTGATTGAAGAGGAGTTAGGTACACACAGCTGGAGTTGAACAATGCCATAGTGCTCACCCAGTTTATTATGTAATTGGCACTCTACAACATCCCTAATCATCCTTTGACTCATTTGCACTGTGTGCTGCCTCTCCCTGGGGATCTATCTCAAGCTTTACAGAGACATCTTGTCCCTCCGAACGCATTAATTTCATTTTTTTCTTTGGAGGGTTTTTCAAAGTGCCCAGCCTCTCTTTCACTTTATACTCCAGGGTGCTGTGGGGAATCCCATAAATACTCTGAGCTTTGGAAACGCTCATTTTCCCATTCATCACCACAGAAATTGCTTCCTCCAATATCTCACTGTTGTATTGTCTGTATCTGCCTCTTTTCTTCCGAGGTTGCTTAGAGCCAGGATCACCTTCCTGATCAGAGGTGGAATATGGCTGTCCAGAGGTAGATTGCTCAGCATCTGAGCCCCAGGAATCTGGTCCAGGATCCAGCAAGCTCCTCCTATTTTGTTTCGGAAGGATAGCCCTTAACTTTTTACTAAGCGCGCTCTCCGTTTGTGAACCCATCACCAAAGAGCTATAGCTATACTGGTCACCAGAACGGGATTCCCATGAAAGGTCCATGCCTCGAACTTGTGGTATCTTTAAATCCACAGGAGTTGAATGGCTCATGTCCTTTTTCCCATCCTGTTTAGTTTGAAGTGCCATTTTTTGAAAAGCAGAGTTTTCTGTAAGAAAAGGAAGGTCACTGATGTTGTGGAGTGCACCATTTCCCCTGAATTTCATTCGGGTAAAGTTGAATTCGTAGTGTGGTTTTGCCCAAGAAGCCTCCCTGGATAGTATCATGTGCTGTCCGTGATTCTGCAACCCAGATGGCCCATGGCTGGCAGCGGTAGCATGCTGGTTTCTGCTCAGCAGTTCTTCACTTATCTGCAGTGATCGAGCCAATGGAACTTTGAGAGATGTGGAGTGGCCAGACCCTTCCCTCGTTCCATCCTGCCAGCTTCTTGGGGGTACCCCATCACCACTCCGAAGTCCCTCTGCATGGTGCTGGCTGGGTCTCCCAGGTCGCCTAATTGGATGGAAGGAAACTGATGTGAGCAGGACTTGCACAGGTAGGGAGGAATGGGTGAGGGGGCCACTCCTTTATTAGAAGGCCTTGCTTGGGTAACATCACTTTTGTGGTTTTATTATTTTTTTAAAGTCTCAGCAGTCAGTTTTTAAAAATGTTCAAAAAACAAAGAGAAGCTTTTTGGGCAAAGAAAAATGAAACCTGTCAGCTGGTCTTTGGTTGGGTTCACAAAATCTTGGAGCAGAAAAGAGTTCGCGCAAGTGTCTGAAAATAGCATCTTAATTATAGATTAGAAAGGAATAATCACCAGAGTCTATTCACGACTGTATTACTAGTGTGACGTTACCACTAAACAAGTACAGTAATAAAAGAGTAAGCCAAGTGACAAATTGCAGCAAGATCAACACACACTCATACACCACCAGCCATCTACACTTTTTATAAAAAGTGAAAACGATATGGATTCACACTATAAATGCTTGTTGCTGCTGCAGCATCAAAACTATTCAGCAGAATTCAAATCATTTTGTTCCCATTAAACACAAAAACAAAAATAATGAAGAGTTCACAAATTTAGTACTAATGTCCAGACTTCATTTATTTTAAAAATTGACATCATGAGTTACAAAAACATTAACCTCATTTTTTCTTTATGCCAAGTCATGAAGAAACAGTTTCTATTTCAAAACTACAGTACTAAGCAGTCTATGCACCTTCCAACTTTACTAATTCAACAGATTAGGAATTAATCTATTTTAATGTTATCCAGTTTAATCAGACTATTAAAAACCCGTAAATTATTTACAGTGTATTCTAATCAATAGTCCCCCAAAACATATGTTAACACATTCCTCTTTGTTGTTTCCATTAGGACAATCATAATGCAAGTTTTCCCATTCTGCAACTAGAAAAATCTGAGAGCACGGAATGGACAAAGAACATATTTAAAAAGTTTTTAGGGATTCTAATCCTTTAGGCATCTGTTTTCAATATTAGAATCCAAATTTAACATTTCGTTTTGATAAAATTGTTTCTGAACAAAACAGCCCTGTGGTTTATATTTCTGATAAGACATTTAACACGTGCTGAGTATTTCTACTAGTCTGATAACAGTGAACCATTGTCCAGGGAACATTAATTAAGAAGACAAATGTTCAATGGCATTAATCTTAAAAGTACAAACATAAACATAGACAAACAGTACTGTTTGACATCACTTAATGCCAACTTCTTTACATAAGACACAGCAAAATATGCTGATCTTTTGAAGATGATCTTCAACTTTCCGTGTGGTATGTAATGTTTAAAACAAATTTCAGAAATTTATGTTAAATTGTTCAGAAAATGAACGGATATAGTCAGATATCCCTCTTTAAGAAACTTTGGGATTTTAGTAGCCTAGAGATCATGGGGCTAAATAAAGAATCCATGTAATGAGCAATTTAAATACTTCATTTTGCAATTAAAATCAGTGGCTGTAAACAATGCTATTTTATGTAGAAGTCCAACTAATTATAACAACATATTTACATGGTTAAACTAATCCTGAAGAAAATATTTTTATGTAGTCTATCCTTACTCTTATATCTACTGTAGCCCTTACAATGCCATTCTGTATCTCTTTACTTCTAAATGATTTATATCAGCAGGCATAGCTAAAAATTCAGAACCGACAGGACTCTACAAGCTTTTTCAACAGAAGTCTTTCCCAGTATAGAGTTAGAATAGTATAGTAAGTGCTTTTATAGTATTTTATTTTGAAAATATCCCCAATATAAGTATTTACAAATCTGCCTTGACCTAACGAATCGTAAGAAACTAGTGCAATGACAGTACTATGTTATAATAATGGTTTATTTCTCCTCTTTGCCTCTATCTTTAACAAATTTTGTACAATTCTTCACCCACTAGTTTGCTTTGGCACCCTTGTCCAAACACTGTGTTCATTAATATTAAGCATTCTTGATTGCTTTGTGTTAAATTACTGAAACTATCAGCTATTAACATTTCAGTCTATTAAAAAAATGGGACCTGGCTAAGTTATTCAGCCAACCTCATGCAGTCTGTTATAGGAGCCTGCAGAGCTTTTAGAGGCCTAATAACCCAAACTGACAGAACCATCAACAACATGGTTGTAGATAGCTGCTAAGGCTCAAAGGTCTAATCTTCATCTTAGACTCAAAAGAATTGTAGAGTTGAAAGCGACTACAAGGATCACTTCTCTGCAGTGTGCAGTAAAAGCAATTAAACTTCCTATGACAGGCGATTTAAACTCAGTGACATGTTTCCTCTCAACAAGTTTTTCGATGGCAGATAAACTAAGGTATGTATTGTCTTTGTACCCAAGATAATGTATTATGATGAATGGTTACTACATTCTGTTTTCAGTCTATATCACTGTTTTTCACATGAAAACTTCATAGTAGCCATATTAATTGTGAAAAGCAGAATCCACTACTCCAAAGATGATGGCAGGAAACTTATCTGAAGATCCTCTAAAAATTGTAGCAGGCCCTCTATGCACAGGTCATATGTAGACATAGTAGTATCTCTATAAATGATCTATATAGGAAGTTCTTGCCTTAAGACCACAATTAGGACCAGAATTTCTGTTGCTAAGCAAGGCGATTGTTAAATGAGCCATGTCAGATTTTACAACCTAAAAAAGCCATGGTTGTTAACCAAAATTGCAGTTGTTAAATAAATCACATGGTTCTTAAGCAAATCATGCAGTTGTTATATTAATCTGGCTTCTGCTATTGATTTTGCTTGTTAGAAGCTATCTGGGAAGGTCGCAAATGGTGATTATGTGACCTTATGACACAACAATCATTGCCAAGTGCCTAAATTTTGGTCAAGTGATTGGGGGATGCTGCAACAGTCATAAGTGTGAGGATCAGCCATAAGTCTCTTTTTTCAGTGCCATTGTAACTTCAAACAGTCATTTGGTTGTAAGTTAAGGACTACTTGTATTTAGGAATGCTGTAACTGCAATAATAATATAAACTTTATGAAGTTGCTATGATAATATAAATGTATATAGGTTTTAAATGGAACCTAAGTAATTTGTATAGCTTTAAGTCAAAGTGCAGGTTCACACAAGTAGTGCCTCACACAATTCTTGGTAGGTTTTTAAGCATAATAATGGCCTAAGTGCTTTTGCATCAAGTCTGTGGGTGTTAATCATTGGATATAAATTTAGACTTTAAAAGCTGAAAAACCCTATGTCTATATTCAACAGAAAGACTGATTATTTCTCTTTATTTTATAGTTAAACATTGGAAATAAGAAACTTTCTAAATTAATTAATAATCCAAAAAGTTAAAAACTCAGCCTATCAAAAGCAGTTGACTTCAATTATACCCCCAAACATTAGGTGTGAGCAAAAATATTAAGAATTTCTCTTACCCATTTCCAGGAGTAGCAGAGCAGCCAGGTGAATGGCTCAAGGAGGTGTTGCCTGCACAAGGACTTTTCTTAGTGGACAGATCAAGCACTCCGTCTGCAACAACATGAGTGTAATTTAAGAATGGGAAAGAATGGGAAAACCAAACACATATTTGAAAACTTATTAAGGTCTTAACTTGTTAATCTAGGTTCAATTCAATGACTCTTCCTGAACTTCGCATTACAGTATCTTAGCACATCAATAAGTATTTTTATTTATATTATTTATAACATATTCTTAAGTTTAGCCAAAAAAAATCTCAAAGCAAAATCTTCCAGTATCTTTGCTAGCAAAGATGAAAAGCTTTTCAATTAGTATAAATATTTCTAGCCAAAAATGTTAATTGTTGTAAACCTACATCAGCAGGCTATATCCTAGAAAGATGTGGAAAATATTTTGAGATTTTAGACATGGAGAGTTTCTTCCCCATATGATTTTCAATTAAAATTACATAGAAGCATAGGTTTAAAAAGAACCATGGAGAAGTTCTAGTCTGACTTGCCAAGGGCAGGAATCCTCGGACACCTTAGACAAATGGCTGTCAAATCAGTGATGGAGCACCCATGCTGTTATTCCATTACTTAATAGCTCTCATAGTCAGGAAATTCCTCCTTATCTCTGTAAAGTTTCACTTATTGGTTTCTGTCCTCCCCTTGGGCAGTATGGAGAATAAATCCATATTTTTTCCCCCGTGACAGCCCTACAAATATAGAAATACTGTTGTTCTATTCTTCATCTTTTCTTATTCAAGCTAAATATAGTCAATTATTTTAACCATTCTTATGAATTAGCCTCCAAGCTGTTCACCAGCATGTTGTTCTTTTCTGCACTCTTTCCAGTTTCTCAGCATCCTTTTTTTTTATTGTGGCAACCAAAACTGGATACAATATTCTAAAGTGGTCTGATGCAGGATAGAGCAGACTATTACTTTCTGAAATTTTGGCATTGAATTTATGTTGATACAGCCCAAGACTGAATTCACTCTTGGTAGCTGCAGCAGTTCATATGTGGTCTTTCTCACAGGTACAACTGCTGAGCCAGGTACCATTTATCTTGTAAATTCAGAACCCTACATTTCTTACTACTGAACTGCATTTTGTTGGTTCAATGTTCAAGTCTATCAAGATCCTTTTGAATCCTGAGTTTGTCTTTTGAGGCATTGGCAATCCTTTGCTGACCCCAAATTCGTGATATCTGTAAATTTACTGGCCATCACTACTAAATCCTCTTCTAAGTAATTTATAAATATTTTGAAGAGCACTTGATCCATGATAGAACCCTGAAGTACCTTATTGCATTCCTTACTCCACCTAGATGTATATCAATTAAGGGCCACACATCAGGTACAGTTGTTCAATCAATTGCAAATTCATTTAATAGTGGGACCACCCATCTCACGTTGTTCTATTTTATTAAGAAGGTGACTCTGATCAACTTCACTGAATGTCCTACTGAAGTCTAGATACATTATATCCATAGCATTCTCTTGATCTATGGATTTAGTCACTTTGTCAAAAGAAAAAAACCAACCCACTATGATTTGTTTAACATAGTCTTTGCTTAATGAAATTATGGTTATAGAAATCACATTGCTCCTTTCTAAGTGCTTGCAAATCCACTGCTTGATTCTTTTTTCTAGGATTTTCCCAAGTAGTTAAACACACTTCTCTAAACTAACTCCATGGAAAATCTCCTGGGAACACTAAGTTAAGAATAATAACTTTTAGGAAATGCATAACTTTGTTAAAAAATACCCTATTACAAACAACTCTAAAGAAGCAATAAGAGGGAAATAATAATTGTCTAAGTAATGAATCTCTACATCCACTCAAAATGCACACTTCTATTACCATAGTTATAAATGTCCACATCTAAGATTATGTTTGCAAGTTTTGCTTTGTGAAATAGAGTAAAAATTCAAGCTTTTCATTTTCTAACCAATTCAGATCAAAATTGTTGCTATGCTAAGTGACATCCACACTATCTTTAGCACACTAATGAAGAAGCTTATTGCAGATCTTTTCTTACATAGCTAAGTAACACTCACAAACTTTTATACTGTCAATGTGTTCTGATTTAATAATTATTCAAACAATTGGTAGTTAAAAGAAACTCACATCATCTTAGCAATACATACTTTGCCTCTGACATCTGCAAATGGGGTGGGTGACTACTAAGTAGGCAATGACTTTTCAAGACCTCATTACTTGTAGGGGTTTCATTCCAGCCTATCCATAGATAGCAAAACAATGGATAACAAAACCTTGAAAAACAATCTCTGTGCATGCACAAAAGGCCATCTTCAATTTTGTACATGTGAAAAACATACAAAAATACTTGAAAACAGAACCACATGTCAAAGTTAAAGGTACATGAAATATTTTTTAGTGAATAATGAAGGTTTTTTTTTAAACCGTTCATGTAACTGCAGGTACTGAAACAATGGATAATGAGGCCCATTTATATAAATATATAATTTGTTAATATCACCAGATGGTCAATTGAAATCTTGAGTTTCTCTACCAAGGAAAAGCAACAGTACATTGCTCTTAACATTCTTTCTTATCACTTTTCCTGGATCAGGTGGCCCTACTTACAGTCACTCATATCCTTCTCGCCACACAGTTGTAGTCTTCTAATGTGCTCTACATTGAGCTGCCATTAAAGTTTACCTGGAAGATTCAGCTATTACAATACACAGCAGTCTAGGCAATTAAGGGAGTACTAAACTTTGCCTGTAGAACCAGTAAAACAGGAGCCAAGAAGGCTGCCAGTTGCTTGCCTTCTTAGTTTCTATTTTAATGGTGTTCTACAGGCAAAGTTTACTGCTCCCTTAATTGCCTGGACATATTGCAATAACTGAATCTTTCAGGTAAGGGCAGCCTAGTGCAATTCAAAGTCCTGTCTATCACTTTTAAAGCCCTCTGTGCTCAGGGCTTCGATATCTTTGTGACCAGTTTCTTCAGGTAGAATAGGCCTGAACCTTAAGCACTTATAGGAAAAGTATTTGAGGAGGGTCCCATCATTGCAGGAGGGCCAACTTCAGGGACTGGAGGTTCATCTCTTCTCAGTAATGGCTTTGGAATACTGTATCACCAGATATGCAACCATTACCTTGCAACATTTTCAGAGAGCTATAAAAATGCAGTTCTTCAGGAAAGCATTTGGGAATGTGTATAGCCAAGCTATTTCCAAACTGTGTCACATCAGATTAATTAAAAAAGTAAATTCATACAATTATAAGTTTACTATATTTCTACTGTAAACTACTCAGAGTTTCTGAGAATTTTGTGGATATACTGTAAATTGTAACACAAACACAAAGTCCGCTTCTCTGTCACTCATCTTCAGCCTAAACTCAGCCTAAAAACTGAAGCTTTTCATTATATCCTTTCTCAAGTTCAATGCACGTTCACTTGCATCTTGCCCTCAATCTAACCCAATACTCAGGAAATAAAACTTGTCTTTATCCTTATCAGTCTTCACAGTATGGGATTATAACGCTTGTTCTTCACATGTTTCCACCCTTGCTATTTCTGCTTCTTCCTGGTGTTTTATTCAACCATTTCTGGAATTTTAAAAATAGTATTCCTTAACTAGACTAGGAGTAAGAAACCATACAGTAAGTAGGAAACCTCTTATTTATGAAATTTCAAGCAAGGGTTTTCTCAATCTAGATATTCTGAAAGAACAACATTGCTTCAACTACCTTGCACATTTTGCCCAAAGTAAAAATAGAGGACGAGGTGATTGTCTGCTTTCTTGTTTTCATTAGCATTCTTATCAGTGTGAGACCAGTGGAAGAGATCAAGGTTCCTAGGGGCTTGGAGGTATGGATGGCGAGAAACAGATTCAGGCTGAGTCCTAGCAAGACCAAGCAACTGTGGGTATTTGAATCAGTGGAACAGGAGACTTTTCATCTTTAGTTCTGAATGGCATTGCACTTTGCTAATCAAGCAATTCAAAAGTCTTTTTAGACTCAGAGCTCCTACTTGGAAAAGCAGTTGATAACTGATCAGGAAAGTGTTTACACAGATTCATCTTGTACATCAATTGCAGCTGGATCAAGAAACTGGTGCAATTGAACAGTCATTCAAACTCTGATCACCTGACATGTGGACTACCTCAATGCACTCTATGGGGAGATGCCACTGAAAACCGAATTGGAAGCTGCAGATGGTTCAGAATGTGATAGAATGGGGAACTATGGGCATGCCACAGTAAATCCATGTAATCCATCTGCTTTCTCAGCTATCCTAGTTACAAGTAGGCCTCAGAATACAATTCAAGGTGCTGGTTATTATCTATAAAGCTATTCAGTAGCATAGTGTCTATCATCTGTCTCCTGTTGGGTGTCTGCCAATTGTGTTCAATTTGATAATGTTGGCATGCATTGGATTCCATTGATTAAACAATGTCATCATAGGATCCAGGAAGTGAGCTTTTTCTGTTGCAGTGCATACCATCTGGAATAGCATCTCCCCAGGGATCTATGGTCCCTAAGATATGTACTCTTCCAAACTGTTTCACAGCAAAGAGGTGTTATGAATTTGGGCATCATACAAATTTCATAAATAAAAAAATAAATAAAAATTGTTTACATGCCCAATTTGTCATAAAACTGAAGCTTTACTTTTAAAAGGATTACAGGCAAAGCTACAGACAAATATTGATTGGGGCCAGCTACTGCATAAATACAACTAGCTAGCATCAACATGAAAAGAAAAATATTGGATTGCAGAACCATAAGGAATGAAAAAATTCATTATTTCTAAAGTTCAGCAGAGGTTCTGGTATTTTGAAATGTGGTTTCATCTCTGACATTACATAGATCTTCAATGCTTTCAACATTCAATATGACAAGGCAGAAATAGTTTTCCCAATATAGCCATCTCACTCATAGATTTGGGGGAAGAGAGCAGAATTTGAGATGTCATGTACAATGGGCCAATCTGCTGGGGCAGACGTTTCCTAAATCTCACAATCATAATTTATTCTTCTATTCATTTAACAATTCATACTAACAAATTTTAACTATCTGCAAAAAACAAGGCAGAAATGTATGCATACCTTGTTCACTAGGGTCCAACTGTGACTTTCTGACAGTGAGGTCCAAGGGTGAGTCCTGGTCAGCCATGAGAAGTTTGCTGAGCACGGGATTTTGAGCTCTTGCACCTGCAGTGGATGAGGCAACCGGAGATGCTTTCAGCAGGCTTTGGTTCTTTGTGCTATTGGGCGAACTGGAGTCCTGAGTAGAGCTAGTTTTTGAGGTATATTCAGCAGCAAATTGTCGGATCATCCGCTGCATGATCTCGCGGGCCACTAAGGGAATGTTGGGGTCTGAGACCCTGGGACTATCTAAAAGACATAAAATTTGAAATAGTAATACTCAGAAAAAATGTAAACTTGAATTATACATTCATAATCTACATCCAAATATTTTTAGATTCATGTTCAATGATTTTAAAATGCCAGCTCAAGACTGACATATTTTTATTGTTTATTTGATGTGGACACTGCCTGATATCCATTGACTGTAGATGGCTCACTGAGTAAAAACAAACAATAATATGCAATCCAGATAAAAACAATGAACGACATGGCAAATCTGGCCAACCCTGCAAAGGGTTCCAACTACCCTAGCTTAAAGTCTGAATGAAGAGCCAGGTCTTCAAAACCCCTTGAAATGACAACAGAGTGGGGGGCACCTGGATCTGAGGAGGAATCTCATTCCACAAGGTCAGAACTGAAACAAAGGCACATTTCTGGGGTCCCAATAGATACTGTTTAATCAAAAGGACCTGGAAACTTCTACACATCATGAGGCAATTTCACAAATATCTGACAATGTAAAGGATTTAACTGCAAATTGGAATACAAATCTAATACCAATCTTTGTTATGATGATACTACCCTCTCAGCACAACTGAAACAAGGTAAAGATTTCCCTGTCCAGTCATGTCCAACTCTAGGGCACAGTGCTCATCTTTTGTTTCTTGGCCAAGGGAACCAGCATTGTCTGAAGACATCGCTATATGCCAAAGGCACACGGAATATTGTCTATGCAAATCTATAACTCTCAAAACGGAGAGGGCTCGTAACTTGGGCGTCCTCCTGGATGCACAGCTGTCTTTAGAAGAGCATATGACGGCCATGGCCAGGGTGGCTTTTTATCAGGTTCGCCTGATATGTCAGTTGCGCCCCTTTCTGGATCGGGACTCCTTATGCACTGTCACTCACGCCCTCGTTACTTCCCGCCTGGACTACTGTAATGCTCTCTACATGGGGCTCCCCTTGAGGAGCACCCGGAGGCTCCAACTGGTCCAGTATGCAGCCGCGCGGGTGATTATGGGGCGACATGGTGCTCCCATGTAACACTTCTCCTGCGCGAGCTGCACTGGCTTCCGATGGTCTTCTGGGTGCACTTCAAGGTATTGGTTCTCATCTTTAAAGCGCTCCATGGCTTAGGGCGTGGGTACCTACGAACCACCTTCTGCCACCGACAACCTCCCACCGACCAATACGCTCCCACAGAGAGGGTCTCCTCAGGGTGCCGTCAGTCAAGCAATGTCGACTGGTGACCCCCAGGGGGAGAGCCTTCTCTGTGGGGGCACCTGCCCTCTGGAACGAGCTACCCCCAGGGATATAATTGATCCCGGACCTCTGTACTTTCCTCCAGGCTCTGAAGACCTTTTTCTTTCAGCAAGCCGGGCTGGCTTAAAATTTTTAATTGTTTTATGGGTAAGGGGTTTTAAATTGGGGAAGCCAAATGGATTTAATTATGTTTTAAATTATTTTAATTTTCATATTGTATGTATTTTAATCCTGGCTGTTCACCGCCCTGAGTCCCTCTGAGGACGGTATAAAAATTTAATAAATTCAATTCAATTCAAAAGGGCAAAGTTGGGACATTTTCTTCATGGATATTAACAAGGTTGAGAACTCCTTGAGAAAAAAGAGATTTGATGGAAATTCCAGAGAAGAAAGATTTTATTATATGAAGATAAGCTGGAGGGAGTGACTTAAATTTAATGAGTTAATTGGACTTAAGATGAATTTTTACAAGTCTGATATGTGTAATTGAAAGAAAATTTTGATGCAGTTTTGTGCTCATAAAGTGGGTCTGAAAATGTTTTTTTTATATATAAAATACTTCAGTAATTCCTAAAGTTTGTAAAATATAATTGAATTTGAAAATATGAATGTTAGGAAGAAATAAAAAAATATGTATTAGAATTTATTAATTTTAGAAATATGTTTAAAGAAGTTTAAAGCTTTAAAATTGATGTTAAAAAAGGTCTTTCCCCTTTAAGGTTAAACAACCTGAGACAGTGTAGAAAATTTTAATCTAATTGATGATTGTTTATAAAGACTAATAAGTATAAACATAAATAGATATCATCTCCCATAGCAAAAAAAAAAAAAAAAAGTAAAGGTGGTTAAATTGATGGCTTTATTCAAAGAAAAGAACATATCTAATTTTGTTTCCATTTGGAAATTGCTTCTGGATTTTGTGCTTGTGATGAAAAAAAAATGAAACTTTGATTTTGGTTTTGTTGATAATTGTCAGACCTGGAAGCCATCTTTGCATTGGATCTTCAGGCCTGTCACATTTAGTGCTGTGGGAAACTGGGAGGGGGGATTGTATGGAGCAGGGAAGAGATGTAGTCATAGTAAGATTCCTTTGTCTGAGAGTCAAGGACATCTTGCCCTGCACCTGGAGTGGTGTGACTGGGAGGCATCTCCAGTTGGGAAGGTGCATTGATTCGACCATATGATGGACATGTGGATGCTGGGCAGAGACTTGGACTTTTCTATGGGTGGGGAAAATCTGGAAGCTTTCAGATTTGGGTTTTCCCAGGTGTGTCAATATGATATCTCTAATAAAATGGAACTTTGAGCCTTGGGAGTTTTTTTTCGTTGGGGGTGTTACTTGGAACCCTGACAATAGGTTTGTTGTTATAGAAATGGCTAATATATATTATTGTGTAAAGGTAAATAAGTTGAAGCTGGAATGTTTTTTTCTTCTGCTGTGCTAAAAAGAGTCGGAAGTCAACACCTTTTTTCTTCTTCTTCCTCTTCTTCCTTTTTCCTCCCTTAGTCTCCTCAATATTTTCACTTTCTTTATATTTTATATTCTGATAAATTAATAAAATTTTAATTGAAAAAAAAAGAATCTGGAAATGCTTGATGGATTGAATTAGCCAGACTTGCCCACTTAATGAGCTATCATAAAGATAACCAACATAATATATACACTGTGAATACTTGAAATGTGCTAAGTAAAAGCTATTGTTATTAGTACAGGTAGTCCTTGGCTTACAACCAGTCGCTTAGCAGCCATTCAAACTTATGATGCCGCCCTCCAAAAGGTACTTATGATCTGCATTCAAAGTTCCAACAGGCACATGACTGCATTTTGGGTGCTTGGCAAATTGGCTACCTTTATAGCCATTTGCAACTCCCATGGTCAAGTGACCACAATTTACAATGCTTTTTGACAGAAATGGGCGTTTACTTGAAGTTTTCAGCATAAAATACCCATTGCAAACAATGGGTTTTCTTTACAAATTTCACATTCACTTAATGACTGCCGTAAAAAATGTCATAAAATTGGGTGATTTATGAAGTGCCTCGACTTATGACCATCATGATATACAACAGAAATTTTGGGCTCCATTATACTCATTAGTCAAGAACTACCGGTACTTGCAATCCTACAAATTATTTTTCTTTCTTATTAACATTTGAGAGCATCGTTCATTAGTACTGCTACCTGATATACAAGTTTACATCACAACTTTGCCAAATCGATTATTTAACAATCCCATTATTTTCAGTATTTCATTATTTACTGTTTTTTATATACATTTATGAATTTCAACTCTGTACAGCAAAATTACAGTTAAATAAACAAACACGAAAATATATACATGATAAAAACACAGCAACAATACCTGCAACAAAAATAGGTTTCACTGTATCCTGCTAAAGGCTTGAAAATACTACTAGGAGTCTATCAGAAAACAAGTAAGGTGGGTCTTAAATACAGTATATATTTCAACCTCTCACATTATAATAAGTAGAACTTGGAAATACAAGTAATCCTTGCTTGGCAATTGTGAACGGAAACTGTCTCACTAAGCAACACAGTCATAAGGTGCAATGTCATGTGACTGTGCCAATTTATGATGGTAGCTGCAGCAGTTCCAGTTGCTGTCATTAGGCAATCCTAATGAGGCAGTCACAGCATCCCGCAGTCACAACATTGCCATTTGGAACCTCCTGACAGTTTCCCCATTGACTATGCTTGTTGGAAAACAGAGGTAAAGGTTGCAAATGGCAATCATGTGAAAGTGGGATGCTGTAATGTTGTACTTACAAACCGTTTACTGAACACCTGAATCGCAATCATGTGACCATGGGAATGCTGCAACAGCTGTAACTATGAGGACCCATAACTCCTCTTCGTTCAGTGCTGTTGTAACTCTGATTGGTCACTGCATGAGTGGATATTAACCAAGAATTACTTTACTTCTTTTTCAGAAAACAAAGCAGGTTAAGCATTTCGGTATGCAAAATAGGAAATATCACTTTTTTCCCCTAGTATTTTTTCCTGAAGTGTAGGAAAAATGCATACATTTTTTTCAGAACTGAATCTTGATCCATTGGTTGAGATGGAATTGCCTAAGCCTGGTGCCATGGATTGAGAAAGAGAGACTGGCCCAAAGTTACCCAGCTGGCTTTCATGAATAAGAAGTTGCAGTCTGCTGCATTCTAGTCTGGTGCCTTAACTACTAAACTAAACTGGCTCTATGTAACACCACAAATAGACCTAAACAAATATTCTGTTTTTAGTGTATTTCTATTTTGTTAAAAAAATTGCACCAGGAATTCTATGGAGTGTTTGGATGAGTGAAGCAAAATCAGTTTGTGAAATATTTACCATGTTTCGCCAAAATAACACAGGGTCTTATTTTCTTTTGAACCCTGAAATAAGGGCATGGCCTTATTATCAGGGGATGAGGGTGTTCTTATTATTTTGGGAGTGCAGGCAGCACCGCCGCAAGCTTCATAACGGCACAGCTGGTGTTCTGCCGCTTGCGGCTGCGCTGGTATGTCGAACCTCGCAGCAATGCTACCATTCGTGCGTGCAACAGCAGAAGTCTTAAGAGTCCTGCTCCATGAGGCAGTGGCGGCGGTGGCGCAATGAGTCTTACAAAGACTCATTTCTGACAGGTGGGGCAGGGGAGAAGCGAGACGCATGGAGCAAGACGTGGCTCCCCTTGCCATCTCTTCTTTCCCCCCCCTCGTCGGGCATGGCAGGGCTCCATCCCCTTGCTTAGCCATCCGCCCCCTTTAGGAATGCAATTTGGGGGTAGCAAGTGGGGCAGGCAAGAAGCGGGACGCGCATCTTACCTTTCAAGCTCCGTTGTGTTCCTTGCCATTGTGTCCAGTGAAACACGTAAAAAAAACCCTCGCAATTTAAATCAAACTTCTCAAACTCCCGAGTATAATTTTATAATGTGTTTTCCTGGACACAATGGCGAGGAATGCCACGGAGCTAGAAAGATTGTAAAAAAAAGTTTTATTGAACTTGCGAGAAGGTTTTTTTTTTTACGTTTCCTTGGACACAACGGCGAGGAACGCGACTGAGCTTGAAAGGTAAGACGTGCATCCCACTTCTCGCTCGCCCCACTTGCCACCCCGAAATTGCATCCCTAAAGGGGCGGGTGGCTAAGCAAGGGGCAGGAGCCCTGCCATGCCTGGCAAGGGGTGGGGGGAGAGAGATACGGTAAGGGGAACCACGTCTCACTCCATGGGTCTCGCTTCTCCCCCACCCCACCTGTCAGAAATGAGTCTTTGTGAGACTTATTGCGCAGCCGGCACCGCCCCGTGGAACAGGACTCTGCAAGGCTTGTGCCACTGCACGCACGAACGTCATCACTGCCGCAAGGTTTGACATACTGGCGTAGTTGCGAGCGGCAGGACGCCAGCTGTGCCGTTATGAAACTTGCGGCGGTGCTGCCTGCACTCCCAATGTATGATGAAGCTCACGGCGGTGCTGCTGTTCGTGCATGCAATGGCACAAGCCTTGCAGAGTCCTGCTCCACAAGGCAGCGGCAGGACTGCCGCAAGGTTTGACATACTGGCATAGTTGCGAGCGGCAGGACACCAGCTGTGCCATTATGAAGCTTGCGGCGGTGCTGCCTGCACTCCCAAGGTATGAAGAAGCTTACGGAGGTGCTGCTGTTCGTGCATGCAATGGCACAAGCCTTGCAGAGTCCTGCTCCACAAGGCAGCGGCAGGACACGTCAGGGCAGCGGTGGCCAGCCGCTCGGCCGGCGCAAATAGGGAGGGGAGGGCATGTCCCCTCCTTCCCCCCTGGCCTCATCTCACCTTGTGTTGTTAGCACGGCAAGCAACCAGAGGAAATGGTGGGACCGGCTGCACATTTGTAGTTGGTGGGGGCTTATTTGGGGGTTTATTTTAACTCATGTGCTGAAAAGCCCGATCGGACTTATTATCTGGAGAGGTCTTAGTTTCAGGGAAACATGGTATTAATTTGTGAATCTGAATGCTAAAACCTCACATAACACTATCAATAAAAACAATACAAGGCACTTTGGATGGATGAGGGAGGAAAGCATGCCGTAATAAATAAGGGTCATAAATAAGAAAAGAATGTCAGTGATGGAAATAACTTAGGTCAGTGATAGTGGAAGATAGACATAAACAATACTCAACTTTCTCTTCATTCTAGACAGGATAGATTGGGAAATTTCGACAACTCACACATATTCAAGAGACCATAAAAATATATGCACATTTTCGTATCTCCTCCACACACTAATTCGACATTCAAACAGAAAACAGAAACTTTATCCATTTCTTTCTTCCTGCTCCCAAATGGCTGCTTATCCCTTGCTTTTAATTAACGAACTGGGCAATGTGGAAAAATGAACAGAAGTTCAATAACTATATTCAAGTGTTGCCAATATTCTGTGGGTTATCTATGTATGCTTTCTCATAAGTAAAACAGAAAGGAAGTAATTTGAAGGACAAAAAAAAAAAAAAGCAAAACTACTGTAGTACTTTGGTTCAGTCAAAAAATTATGTGTTCCCCTAAGACATTGTGAAGGATAAGATGAAGGGCAGCATTGAAGATTGAGACAGACCGAAACATGGTTGGGAACTACCAATGTATTCAGAGATTAAATCTCTGTGATCAAAATTTTATCCAAAAGAATTGATGGAATGCGCCATACTAGGACATCACAGAAGCTGAGAGGACAGATAAAAAGGAAGTCAATGGGAAGATGAGGGACAGGGATATGTCACCACACTAACATTAAGAGATAGATGAGAGAGCAGAGGAAAAGGAAGGCACTTGGAAGATCGGGGAATGTGCAGGCCAATGAAATATGCTACACTGGATCATTAGTGCAGGAAGGTGAGGAAAGAAAGATGCGGAAAGGAAAGAAAGAGAATGAAAAAATTGGGGACCAGGGAGACTATTGGGAAAGCATTGGCAATTGATAAGCAGAGGAGAGGAGGCAAATATTTTACTATTGCAAAATAAATATTAAAAATTAATATATTGAACCAATACATTAATTTTTTTTTTTATTAAGTCCAACCTTTTCGATAAAAGACTTCATGGAGGAATTCTTCCGCTTGCCTCTCAAACCAAGTGATCTTTGTTTGCTCTTGTTTAAGCAGAGCGTGATGCCCAACTTCCAATGCTGGATCATCCAGACTGACGAAATGTTCCTGTGAAAACATTTAACAAAAGAATAAAAACAAAATACTGCTTCTCATTGTTAAATTTAATAAAACAACTGCAATACTATTCACATAATCAAGTATTTATTATGCAAGTATACATACCAGTTTCACTGTGTGAGTTGCTGTGTTACTACACAACTTCTATCAACTTACTAAAATCATTTCTAGATGAAGGTGTTCTAAAACTATCTCTAAAATTTAGGATGGACAACCTGTGACACTAAGGCAGAATGCAGACCAGATCATAACATCATCTATGCTATGCTATGCTATGCTCTGCTATGCTCTGCTATGCTATGCTATGCTATGCTATGCTATGCTATCCTATCCTATCCTACATAGTGTAGATGATGAATTAATGAAGCAGTGAATAAGATTGATACCAAAATTTGGAAAACCTTTCAGTCCGTATTTTGCTTTGGCAGATCTTTAGAAGGATTTCTGTATCCAGCTAAATCAATCTATTCTTCCTCTTATAATTTTCTCCATATTTCCTTACAGAACTTATCTAGCTCAACAATAATTACATCTTCCTGAATGTATTGCTCATCTCACATCTCTGCATAAATTTTCAATAATATTCAAGTCTAGGGATCCTAACCCTAATCCACTTTTGCTATATTCTTATTCTGAATCTGTAAACAGATGGACATGAATAGCAAATGTGCATTCAGATTTACAAAAAGATGTGGTTTCAGTTTTTAGCCATATAAAGATTCTATCAGCTTCTTTTTACTCAGAATTCACTGAAACATTCATTTGATCTGGGATGGACAAAAATTTTGCATGTAACTATATTCCCTATTAGGGTTTTTTTTACTGTTTCACATAGATTCAAACAAAATTAGCTGCTTTTCTATTAATACAGCCCCTATTCCTCCTATATAGTGTATTTTTGAAAAATCTACTTATTAGCTCTTATCCCAGTGCAACAAGTTATGGCTGCAAATATTTTTAACAAAGTTTAAAAAAATCGCAAAAAAAGACTGTGGAATTATATATTGAAGTGGGTCATATACATTATGCTATTTAGCATAAATTAAAAAAATACAAAACATATCCTAATTTTGGAGCTAAGATAATATATATATCTAGTGATCAAATGAACAAATCTCAGTGATTTCAGTAAGATCAATACTAATAGTCCTTGACATATTATTGAAATATGTCCTAGCAATCTTATTCAATGGAAAGGGATACTAGATATTGTAGTGATGTAGCCACATCAAAAATAAGAAGACAATGCTGGTTCAAATCTGCAGATGTGCTAAGTATCTCCCATATTCAGTATCAATTACTCTGAAGCAACAAATTTAAAATACATAAAAAATACAAACAACAGAATAATAGTGTCAAAATCTAACCAATTCTTACACTTAAAATCAGTTTTACTGACATTTCTTGCATCATTTCCCATGAAATTCTTGTTGACCTTTATAGCTCTACTCCCTACTGTAATTATGATTTTAAAAAAACAGTAAAGGCATTTACATTGTATGAATGAAATACACCAGAAATGCAACAATCGCTCCAATAAATGTAGTATCTCATAGCTTACTTATAAGAGTATAATATATAAAGATAATGAGAATAAAATGAAAAGATAGTACAACGATAAATACATCAAGAAAACAAAGAGCAGAATTATAATTTTATATGTATTAGGCAGTCTGGCTTTAAGTAGCTACTAGTGGTTACTATTTTCTTATCTAAGGAAATACTAGAACAGAGAATTTTAATATTGCAGGACAGAAAACAAAAAGGGTGCATCTATTGGGGGAGACCAATAGATGCAGCCTTCTCTTTAAGCCATGAAATAACTGCATGGCATATACGGTTAAAAGGTACCACCATGGAAAAAGAATCTCCACAGAGTGCAAGCACAGGTAGAACTCTTTGTATAACAATTGCAGTGAGAGCTGCATGCTTCATCCGTACTTTACATATTGCACCTCACAGCTAGTAGCCACAAAACATTTAGTGTCATCTGCATTCTCAGGCACAGTAAGAATACAGTTGTCTTGAATCACTACAGATAATTTTAAAAATGAAAGCAAATAGGAAAAAAAACCACTTTGAGAAAACACTTCACCCAGTCAATATTGCTTACTTTGTTCAATATTCTCCTGCTTTGAAGAGGTGAATAAGGACCAGCAGAACCACCTTCTGATTATGTTTTCCCAAAAACAAAGCTAAATGAAATCCCTAGTCTTTGCCAAAGTTTATCTTTATTGAATTGTTACCTTCACTTTTTCTCTTCTCAAACAGCAGAAAAGACAATTTTCATCAAAAGACCAATCAGAGACACCTTCAGGTTCAAAGTCTGTGAATAAGAAGAAAAAGTTATTTCACATCTATAAAGATGCAACTTTTGAATGGTTAAAATTCATTCCTAATTCCCTACCCGTTTTATAAGACGCTTGATGCTATATGAGCAATGCTAGTTTGAATGCTAACATGCTTTTCATTTCCACAATGTTACAAAAGTATAATTTTCGCCTACACACAAAGCTAATTTTCCTAAGCAACACCAAAACCACTGCCAGTTATGCTCATTAGTAATTTTAGCCAATATGAAACTAACTGTGAGCACTGCCTGGGGGAGGGAAAAAAAGCACAAATCACCAAGGTAACATACATTTTCTAGAGACAGAGCAGAGGTTGAGTTTGTCATTAAAGATGCAGATCAAGGCAATATATATATATATAAATATACTGTATATATAATACCTTTAAACAAATTCAGATCTTTTAATAATTCAGCTCCAAACAGCCCTTCTAGAATACTTTCAAATCCTAAAATTAAAGAAAGAACGTTTAATTTCCTCAAATTATATATCTCAATGCCAGAATATTGACAATTCTACATTTATCTGTTATTAGAATAATCTGAATGTGCTTTTATTATTTAGTCTATATTTCTTGGTCAATCCTATCAAAATCAGTTAAAACATGCACGCAGATATAATTATATAAATGCCGCATAGTGAAAATGAACCAAAACAGTTTAAAAATTGAAAATGTTCTATTTAAATATAATTCAATTAAATGATTCCAACATTAAAAATAAGTACTCACTTCAGATTATGAATTCAAAAATGTATCTCCCAGAGTCTACTTTTAAGATTTATAAATTATTTGAAAAGGAAAGCCACTGAAGTTAATCTGGAGCCAAATATGGAATGTGTTTACTCTGTAGATGTTTAATTATTACTGAGGTATTTACATTTTTTTTTACAATGCTCAGAGTTCCTATTTCAAATATTACACCTCCCCCTCCCCCCAAATTAGTGCCATATTTGTGAATATAATTACAGTGTACTTTTGGCTTGCAGCTAAAGAAACAGCATACCTATTTATCAGCTTCTCAGAATATAAGGGCTTTAGAAAATATACTGCATTGTAACAAGCACAAATTCTACTGAGGTAATCTATTTACTATTTATATGCAAAGATATTGCACATAAAGACTTTTGCTGTACAATATCTGAACTGAACAGTAGAGATTTCACATTTTCAATATAAAATAATTCAAGGAATAAATTATTTCTTTATCCATATTACATAGTGAGTGATGGACTATTTCACTCTGGAAGAGAAAATTACTTCTGGTATGCAGAAGAAGTCCAATGCTCATTTAATAAATATTATCAAGAGTCATAGTGCAATTTTTGAGGCATAATAATTAAGTAGATCCCGAAAGTACAAGAGCACATAACACCACGTGTATAGTTGGAAGGCAAAACCACAAAATTCCACCTTACTTATTTTAGCTATATCAAGCAATCAAACCCACTGGAAAAGGCAGTTATGCTTGGAATTGTCAGCAGTAAAAGGAGGCCACTCAGAAAACATGGTGCCTAGACACCATTAAAGCCAACACCAGCCAGCGCATAAAATATCAATTATAAAATAACTAAAATATTGGAGACAGCTAGTCCATAAAATCTTCAAGAATCAAGCATGATTGAATGGACAGCATCATAACATCTTAAAAGTATTTACTAAAATAGTCAAAGAGCTGTGCTGGAATAAACTTGACAACATAATCACATTTTAATCTATAATGTAATGACAAAACTACAAAGAAATGGCAAAAGTATAGGGGAAATAAAGCACAAATTAAACAATAGAAAAATAAGGAATTGAAAAGAACACTTACACATACACAGATAATAAACCCAAATTTTTGGATGCAGATGGTGTCTTAGCCTTGCTTTAATTAATTTTAAAAGAGCTCTATCTTTTAAGTAAAATTGACACATCTCTAATTCACAATAGAAATAGTCCAGTAAACATGGATGCTTTGTATATTACATATTAGTATAAATAAGTACATTTAAAAAAAATGTTTTTAGAAAACTAAAAGCTGACAAAATTTAGACTACTGAAAAAGAAATAAAATTTAAGAAATCTTACAACACTTTAAAGATTTCCTATTAAAATATGCAGGTAAATGCAACTAAAATGTGAAATGTTAAAAACTTGCACATTTTAACTTATACAGGATGGTCTCTAAAAAAGAAATCTTTTAAATAATGGTCATTAATTCCTATCACACAGAATTTTTATGCAACTAAATAAGCATTCACAGTGTCTATGAAATGGATTATATAAAGTATACAATCTTGCTTGCTTTGTTCACTGTTCTACCAATGGTAATGACGCTTGGTGTATATTAATATTAAATATTAGATTTAACAGTTGCATAGCAACAGCAGAAAAGCTTATATGTAATACTTGTCACAGAAAATGCCAAACAAGCAAGGATGAACATATTTTAAAAATATTTTAAACACCTAGCACTATTATAATTTATTAGATTTAGTTATACAGCCCAATCCAATACATCAGAAATAGCAACAAATTTATCAAATAATATGTTTTGCTATGTTTAATACAGAAAGAGTCAAAGTAAACAAGGGTGCATGGAACAATTAAACTGGAAGGAGTTTAGATAATGAGAAATTGCTAATATTTACTAAGACTTCTCTATCACTGTTTTAGGAACTAAAGGAAATACGATTTTATCCACTGATAATAGTTTACTCATTTGCATTGAGATGTAATATATTCCTATTGATTTCAAGAGGAAACAATATGGCTGCCTTTGTTTGACTCTTTTATTCATTCCCATGAATGTTCGATCATTTCCACTTCTGAATAGAACAGTATTAAAAGTCTCCGGAAATTTTCATTTTATTATTTCCACTTCACAATGAATTTGGATTTTCTGTACTTGGTGGTGGTGGTGATTTCAAGGAAATACAGTTATGTAATCCTTCTATTAAAAAAAAAAACCTACCACAAATAACAATACTTGACCTTTTCAGTAAAAAAGTTCCACTGCAAGAGAAAGATAATTTACTGCAGAAGACTCACTGAGGTATTTTTAAAAATTCAAGGATTAATGCCAATCAAATCAAATCAAGTATTTATTACAATCATAAACCAGTATAAGAGATCATTGCAAAACAAAACTGTATTCTTAAGACACTCATGTACTTAGATTCATACTTAAAAAGTTAGCATGTATTATTTGGTTATTATTTCTGAGAGCACTTCCAACAAACCTTTTTTAAATTGGGTTATCTTAAATTAAATATGAAAATCTTATTGTAATATGTATATATTTACATGTTTTTACTTCTCTTAATGCTTTATTATCTTGAATCTATTCTCTTTGGAATTTCATATGGTGAAGCGCAAATGGCCCAGTTCAGGCAAAGCCAGTATGAAGACTCTTTCTATAGCTATACCATAATGGCTGGCTATTCCCTGAACTGAGGGAAAGTCAGTGAATGTAAGGTTAGAGTAGCTTTCTGAGATGAACCTATCCTATGCTTTCAGGAAGCCTTGGTAGCATCAGTTGCTGACTGGCCAAAATATCTTGCCACTATCATGTTAATTTAAATTACAGAGAAGATTCAGCTGTTCAGACCAACCAGGGATAAATATCACAGTCTTTGTATAACACATTCTCTAATTATTCTTTCTTCCTGTTTGCCTCAGTTTCCTTATCTTTTGTGTGGAAATTATTTTTTTGTTTGAAGATACAAACCACTGAAACTAGAAAAACTTAGAACACATTCAAAACTGGATACCAACCAGGGAAAGAAATTTGGATTAATCTCATTATTTTCAGTGAATGCATCATCCATTGCCCTTCTCAATAACTGATATACCTGATAAAAACAGGAAGATGAACAATTGGGGAGGAAGAAAAAAAACACAATGCATTAAGAAAACTTAATTTCTGGGAGGACAGGCTTCAAATGATTTGCTCACTGATCTCTCAAGATAGGAAGCAGAAACAAAGCGAAGTAACTCCTTATCCATAGGATCTCTACAATTGTATAAAATTGCATAAAGGATAAGACTTTTTAAATTCTTCACTTATACTGCAGAACAATGAAGGAGAGAGCTCATTCAAACTGAATTAGGCAACAATAAAGAATTATTTTACAATACTTCCTAGAGCAGGGGTCCCCAACTGCTGGTCTGTGGACCTGCACTGTTCCGTGACATACCAGAAACTGGGCCATATAAACAAGTGAAGTCCCATCCGCAGGATGCAGGCAGCACATGAAACCACGCCCCCACCAGTCCACAGAAAAACTCTCTCCATGGAACCATTTCCTGGTGCCCAAAAGGTTGGAGGCAGCTGTCCTAGAGAATTCTTATAATAATGTTTGTGGTCCTGAGCTCATTGAAACAAGGATATAACGACAATGGTGATTTCTCAGAATATTGGAAATCCCTATGTATCTCTAATGGATTTAATTTAAGATCAGATTAACTTTACGGTTGAAATCAGTGGTGGGATTCAGGTAATTTAATAACCGGTTCTCTGCCCTAATGATTTCTTCCAACAACCAGTGTGCCAAACTGCTCAGAAAGTTAACAACCGGTTCTCCCAAAGTGGTGCGAACTGGCTGAATCCCACCACTGGTTGAAATATATCAGAAACTTTACAATAGATTATCTAGATATATTGCCACTTTTAGTTAAAACAATCTTTCAAATTCCAGTTACAGTCCACAAGAATATTATGGGTATTATGATTACCATACTTTTTGGAGTATAAGATACACTTCCCCCCCCCGCCTAAAAGAGGGTGGAAATGTTGGTGGGTCTTATACACCAAATACAGCCATTTTTGGCCTCCCGAAGCCCCGCCCCGCATGTCCCGTTTTTCGTAAAAACGGGGCATGCAGGGGCTTTGGGAGGCCTGCAGAGTGCTCCTGGGGGCCGGGGAGGGCAAAAACTTTTTTTTCTTGCTTATCTCTTCAAAATCTTGGTGCGTCTTATACACCGGTGCAATTTATAATCCGAAAAATATGGTAACTGCTGCTCTTTTCTTTAACTTGAAAATCTAAGGGTTTTTTTTAACTCCATTTTTTACTTGCCGTGAGTAATCAAGAAAGGTTTGCATTCTTAGATTATCTCAGCATACAATACAAACAGAGTTGGAAGCATGATAGACAGAAACTGGAGATAATGGGGCAACATCCTGCAAAGTACTTCTAGTTCAAAATTCAGCTACAAGTCATAGCCAGTTCAGCAGAATAACTCTTATCCAGAATTCAACTAGTTACCAATAGGCAAGATCCAAAATTATTACTATTAGCTCCAGTATATAAAGGCCTTTATGGTTCAGGTCTTTTCTCCAATCAGAGTCTCTGCATCTAATATGTCCTTTCTGGAGACACTGCTTGTAACTATGTCAATTCCCAAGGGAAATACTCTGAAATAGGTTTTCCTATAGGTACCACAATACTACAGAGTATGTTGTT